TATGGAATTGAAGTCTAATTATAATAATAATACAGTTATTTTGAGCAGTTTAAAAAATTATCCATGATTAATTGACATATTACTGATGAGTCAGAATCGAAAATTATTGATGTTGATTCTGTTGATTTATTTTACAGTTTGAATACATGATAATATCTTATTGACTGATCTTATTGTTTGAATGCATTTATGCTTGCTTTATATGATTATGGCTGAATTGAAAAACTAGAAATTAAAGGAAGTCGAAAAACTGTTTAATTAAGTGAATAGATGAAACAACAGCCGTACTGGATATCCTGAAAGATGGTGGACAGACCGAGTACATAGGGAACCCTACTGTGAATGTTGCCTCATACCGGACGGGGTATCTAGGTTTGGTAATTTGGCACTCATACTGAACGGGAATGGGAACGACTCCTTTCACCTTCATATCGGATGGGGTATCGAGATTTAGTAATTTAGCACTCATACTAGACGAGATATGGGGATGGCTCGTTAATTGAAAATGTTAAAGAAAATGGTTCACACATTGTGGGGACATCCTTATGGACCTCCATTGATACCGGTAGGCTGATAAAAGAGAAAATTGTTGTTCCAACCGATTGCATATGAAATTATAATATGTGCTCTGTTATTGTCTCTATAAGTTGTTTCTTGAAAATTTCGTTACGATAAGTAGGTGGTAAATAATTTTATTTATGATAAACGATTTTGCTTAATTGAGAGCTCCATTAGTTGTTTTTATGATTTCTACCAACCTTCATTTCTGTGTCGGTGAGTAGCGTGATATTCTTACTATGGTAATATAGCTCATTCTTTCATTAACCATTTCAAATCAATAGGACCAGGATCCAGAGCCTGATCCACAAGAGGATTGCGAGTAGGACGTTCAGTCGTTTACTTTTAATTTATTTCTTTGGTTATTAATTGTTCTTTTAGAAGAGTTATTCCCATAATTCCTATTTGTTATTTTCAGTTATTGTGTAAGGAATGTAAACTCTAACTATTTATTTCGCTTCCGCACTAAATTTATAATTTATTTCCTTTGAAATTTTCGAGGTCGTTATAGTTGGTATCAGAGCCGCATTCCTCGAAACCATTCCTTACATAAAGTCCTTAGAAAACACCAAAAATAATGAATTATCACTCAATCATTCACTGTAAAATGTAGGTATAGATAGATGAGCAGAGGAAGACCCCTACTAAACTGAGCAGCCCAGGAGGGTTTGCTTCGAGAGGATGTTGACCAGTTATTTGAGATGCTAAAGAGACTCATCGCTACCCAGGAGGCCCAGGAGGAAAGGAGGGAGCTACTTGACCCTCTCTCGCTGCCACAGGTTGAGCCATCCCTGTAGCAAGAGGATACCGAACTACCCCAGTACGACCCTACTCCTCCACAGTACCACCCGACACCACCACAGTGTGATTTGGTGCCCCAGCCACAATACAACTTGACACCACCACAGAATGCTTAGTGCCCTAACCGCATCACCCGACACCACCACAATACACTCTAGTGCCCCCACAATATTATCCAGTACCACCGTATGGCCATCCAGTCCATCCTCAGCACAATCTAATCCTTTTTCCACGGGACTCAGTTCCTCCCATAACGAACCCAAACTATATTGAGAGGTATAAAAGACTGAACTCGTCTACTTTTGCAGGGGGGTATTCCTTTGAAGATGACGAGTACTGGTTAACTGAGACAGAGAAGACCTTAATTGAGAGCTCTATTAGTTGTTTTTATAATTTATACCAACCTTCATTTCTGTATCGGTGAATAACGCGATATTCTTACTAGGCTAGTGTAACTCATTCTTTCATTAATCATTTCAAATCAAAAGGACCAGAATCCAAAACTCGATCCACAAGAGGATTGTAAGTAGGACATTCAGTTGTTTACTTTTAATTTATTTTCTTATTTATTAATTGTTTTTTTAGAATGGTTATTCTCATAAGCTATATTTGGTATTTTTAGTTATTGTGTAAGAAATGTTTATTTTGCTTCTATACTAAATTTATAATTTATTTCTTTTAAAATTTTTGAAATCGTTACAAATGTCACTTCACCTACCACTAACTATAAATTGTTAAACAATTATTGCTTTTTCTTAATCAGAGTTAAACCTTAATTATAGTTTAATTTGTAGTACTTGTAGTTGTAATAATTGACCATGAAGTCTCTTTTAACTCCTTCTGAACTACTAATTAGCTTTAATTAATCTTTTTTCTTTTTCCTTAAACTTGCATATAAGCTTCAAGTAATTTTAAGACTGTACTAAGTCAATATGACAGAATGTAAAACACTGCCACTAAGTTGATATGGGAACCAATTAAATTAATCGATTAGTTATAATTAAAGTTAATATAAATAAATATGTAAATTTATTGTAATTAATTATTTAACATGAAATAATTTATTCTATTATATATATATGTATCTTTTTTTACAGTGTCAAAGCTTATTTTCAAATTTAACTTTAGTTTACTAAAATTATTTTTTTTTTCAATTTAATTAAAGATGATTATAAAAAAAATAAGACATTTAAGAGAAAAGTATTCACTAACTTTAAAGAAAATTACCAAACAAAAAAGTATTTAAATATAATTTTCTCGAACATATTAATAATGTATACATATAATTCGAGTTGTTGAACTCTAAAACAGTTAATAAATATCTTTGATATTCTTCAGTTTCTTATGTGTGCAAGCAATTTCTTAAAAAAAATATTCTTCAAAAGTTAAAAAGAAGCATATGGTATAATGGATAATATGTGTATAAAATATAACCTTATTAGTTAAGAAACTCAAATTAACATTCCAATTAACTTGTCGTTTAATAAAAATGCAAAAGAGCTGAGAAGGAGTCAACGTGCCCAAAAAGTCAACTTTTTGGTCTTCGATTATAACACGGTACTCAATATTCAGACGCATACTTCTCCTCTCTACGCAATAGCTAAGCAACTTCTTAAAACCTGGTTTATTACCCAATCCATCTCTCTCTTTCTTCTCCATTATCCATCCATACATAAATATATATATATATATATCATAAACGTCTCTATAATACTCATGCTATAATTTTTATATTCATTCCTAACTTTTTGCCAACTACCCATCAATCTCCATCTCTCATATACCAACCTCTGAAACTTAGAAAAAAGGAATCGGATAAAAAAATTATACAATCATTTCCATCCTTGAGAAGGCTATCTGATCCACCAACAATGGCGAAGAGTAACTTATCATTGCTTGGCCGCCTAAGGACGGCGGTGAAGAAGGTGAAGTTCTTGCTCAACTTCAATGTCAATCGTTGGCGTCTAGCTTCAATAATCGGCGCGTCGTCGAGCAAGCGCCGGCTGAGCTTCAACGACAACAAGCCTGGCTTAAGGGCATATGTCGAGTTCGATACCGACTCCGATGAATCATATTCTCCGGCAAGCGGACTTTACAGAACCACAAGCTACCAGTCCGAGGATGATATTGATAAGAAAGCCGAAATGTTTATTGCTAATTTCTACCGACAACTTCGGATTGAGAGACAGATTTCTTTGGATCTCAAGTACTGTCGGGGGAACAGCTTTAATAATTACATGTCTCCGTAACCCATCTGTCTTTTTTTGAAAATCTTTGAAGATTGTTGCCTACGAATATACGAATCAGGTTTCGTTTGATTGGTAAGTAAGAAAAATCATCAGGGGTGCTCGATGTTTTAATTCGGTGATGGGGGAGCCTTTGACTTTTATTAGAGGGTTTCCTGTTTGGAGTTTTTGGATTTGTTTGGTTGCTGAGAAAGTTGAAAAGAGAAGTTCATATGAATGGATGAATCTCGCAAATATGCTCGATGGGCGGGTACGGTGATTACTCGAGCATCGTTCTTCTCATTTTATGATCATCAAGATTTTGGGTTTAAGCAATCAGACACAGACAAATTATTCTTTGATTCTTTGTATCTACTACATATTCTTTAATTTGTGTTTTTTGGATTCTGAACAAGTTCATGTAATCTTTTTCCATATTGCTCGAATAAAATAAAATTCAAATCGAATAATATGGTATTTTTATATATATATATATTTTTTTTAAGTTTCTTTTAAGATGATAAAATCGATATCCTTTCGGATTGTTCACGAATTAATTCTATCTCTATGTAAGTTGACCATAATAATTTAATAACAATGTCTTTTTATTTTTTGGCCTGGGACATAGTCGAGTTACAGTCGAGTTACAGGTGCAAAATGGCTGAGACGGCTATTGGCCCAATTGAGAACTCTCGAACCAGGCCTGGCCTGAGTCAGCCCGGCTTAATCAATAAAGTCGGCGACCCAGTAAAATCTATCCTAAGCCAACCCATTTTAATCATGGCTCGGGTATGGTATCTTTTAAGATGGAATTTTACTAATAAACTAAATAACAAAATAACAATAAATATGAAGTAATAACAAGATTATCAGAAATAATAATAATTACTAAAAAATAATTAAAAGTTTAATAAAATAAAATAAAACTTAATAGAAAAATAGCCAATTGATGGTTTTATTGTAATTTGGCGCAATTCACATATTATCACCCGGCGGTGACGCTGACGCTGACTCTCACTCGCATACTCCTAGTTCTAAAAAGATTGAATTACCTAACAACAAATCATTTAAAAGACATTGAATCATCTTTACTTTTTTAGACACTTAAATAAACTAGATTAGGATTCTTTAATATGTGGATAATATGTTAATTTGGTGTTAACGGATAACATGTGGGTATATGATAGAAGAAACAAATTCAATCAACTCAACAAAAAAGTCAAAGGTGGTGGCTTAGTTAACAATTATTAATATAATTAATTGTAATTAAATATTAATTAATTGTAATCAATTTAATTATATCTACTGTATAAATATTCAACAACCCAAAAAAGACACATGTAGGCACTATTTTTAAGTTTTAAATCAATGACTGCGTTTTTTTTCTAGAATTTGTGAACTTTGCCGCTGATCTTGAATATACACTCTCAAATTGAAGCGGAAAATTCCAGAACCTAGTAACATGCAAGAGAGCTGAGAAGGAGTCAACACGCCAAAAACAAAAAGTCAACCTTTTTTTACTCTAAACACAAAACTCCATTTTCAGACGCGTACTTAATAGGTTTATTACCCAATAGATTTCTCTCTCTTTCTACTCCAAATATCATAAACATCTCCATTGGACTCATGCAATAACTTTCATATCATTCTTAATTCTCTGCCAAGGCTATCTGATCCACCGACGATGAGGAACACTAAGTTATCAATGTTTGGCCGCCAACGGATGGCAGTGCTCAATTTCAATGCCAATCGTTGGAGTCTAGCTTCAAGAATCTGCATGTCGTCGTGCAAGAGCCAGCTGAACTTGAACAACTCCGATGAATTATATTCTCCGGCAGGCGGACGTAACAAGGCAACGAGTTACCAGTCCGACGATGATCTTGATAAGAAAATCGAATTGTTTATTGCTAATTTCTACCGACAACTTCTTATCGAGAGAGATTTCGTTGGATCTCGAGTACCATCAGGGGAACAGCTTTAATAATTACCTGTATCCGTAATCCACCTCTGCCTTTTCTTGATCTGATCCACGTTTTGTATGTTTTGAAAATTTTTGGCAACTGATCAGGTTTTGTTTGATCGGTAAGTAAGAAAATTTATCGGTGGTGCTGGATGTTTTAATTCGGTGATGGGAGAGCCCTTGACTTTTATTAGATGGCTTCCTATTTGGATTTGTTTGGTTGCTGAGAAAGTTAAAAAGAGAAGCTCATGTGATTTGATGAATATTGATATTTGCCGCTTGTTGAGATTAATTTGAATTTTCAGGATTTATGAATGTCTAGATCTACTACATGTGTTATATAATTCATGTATTTGTTAGTTTTAGAGAATACATATAATAAATTCAATGTTATGAAATGCACTTATGCTACTTACGTATACATATACATGTATCTTTTGTAATTGAGTTTCTGATCATCAAGATTTTGAGTTTCAATAGTTAAGCCGACACAAATTGTTCGTAGGTCAAATTTTAATGGTTTGGTTAGAAAAATCTTCAAAGGCAAAATTTTACTAATAGGCTAAATAATAAAATAATAATAATAAAAAAATGAAGTAATAATAAGATTGAGAGAAATAATAATCATAACTAAAAAATGATTACAATTTTAATAAAATAAATTAAAAATTAAATAGAAAAATGGCCCATGAGTCCTCTCGAGCCTATTACATAAGGCTCATTATGCCAAGCCCAAGCCCAAGACCAAGCCCAAGCCCAAGACCAAGCCCAAGCCCAAGCCCAGCCAATGATGGTTCAAACTGTACTGCCTTTTAATTTTTTTTTTTTTCTTCTGTAAGTTTGAGAGTAGATTGAGCCGTTCATTTCCTTTTTGTACCTATATACACACACACACACACACACACATATATATATATATATATATATATATCAAGTAATGAAGCTTTGAAAAATCCAAATTCGAACATACCAAATACCATACAAAGTGGTGATGCCCCATAACCTTAAATTAATATGAATGTTCAAAATTAAACAAATAAAATATTTCATTCCATGGAAACCGATCGTATTTAAATATTGATTATGGGAATATTGAGGATTATGATATAAAAAAAAAATTTTAAGGGCATTTTTTTTTTTTTTGGGTGGAAATTTAATATTAATTTCTGTTTGGAATATTTTTATTTTCCTCTAGGTGGCTAAATTTTAGAAATTAAAATTGTGAAGTCAACCACCAACCAAAGAAAAATCGGAGCCACAGCCACCTATTCCAGGACACAACTGTCATTTAAAATCTAATCGATGGTTCTGTTGTAATTTGGCGCAATTCGCATACTATCACCTGGCGGTGACGCGGAATCTTCCCTCGTGCAATAAAAATCTTCTGTTCTTTCCAAGTTGGCAAATCATTATTGCTACTCCATTGAAAGTTCACGCATGATACAACCCATATCTTCAACGCTCGGTGATGCAATCATTGCTCCGTTTGCTCCGCTCTTGACCTCCTCCGCCTTTGCCTTTCTTTCGACCACTACAGCTGAGCTACAGTCAGGTTGCATTTGAAAAATATATAAATAAATATAACATATCGGCCAAAAAAAGAAAAGAAAAAGAAAAATATATAAGCTGTTGCCTGAGGCGGTCGCCAAAGAGCCGTTGCAGGGTTTCGTCGTCGATCGTCGGCTTCTTCTCTCTTTCTCTACACTCTCCTCGTTGTAAGAAGACTCTGTTTCTCTTCTCTCCTTGTGTGTATATATGTATATATTCTTCTGTATCTATCAGTTAAGGGATTTGGGCTTCTTTATTGATCCCCTTTTGTTTTGGCGGCTTTCTCATTTGCTACATTTGATTTATGGTTTTCATCGTTTCGTAAGTGGCTAAAGGATTGGTAGGAAGATTATGGTCTTTTATGGTATTAGTTTTTTTTTTTTGGTTATTTTCGATCTCTTTTTGTTTTTCGTTTCTGCTGTTCGATTGATTTTTTTCAAAAGAAAATCAATCTGATTGATGTGTTCCAGAGTTGGAGTTTGTGATTTATGGGAAATGATGGAAATGGTGAAGGTAGACATGGTTTTTGGTGGCTTATATTGATTGTTGTTTATGCGAGTGATGAAGTTACGTGTGAGTCACTTACCAAGAAGACGAAAAGATTGTTTCTTCACGTGAAAAATAAAGAAACTGGGAAGCATAAAGATCAAAGGGCTGTACTTAAAATGCTTAGGTATGGAGTAAACTGAGGCATTATTTGATTAGCATTTTAGAGGTAATTGCCTTAGCTCTGAGATTTAAACTTAAGCGAAGAGAGTAGCTATATGAATATGAATGAGCCATTCCACGAAAAAGGGTAAGAAATCTATCCAAGAACTCCTTACCATTTCTCAGATGAGCAAGTGTATTTTCTGAGATTTAAATAAAAAGGGCTATTAGCTTTTGTTTTGGGGAAGTCCATTCCTGGTTTACTTGAACTCTCTCTCTCTTTTTTTGCCTAAAAGGAATAGGAAATTACATGTTAGCAAGTCTTTTTTCATTCTACTACATCAGTACTTGATTCAACATCATATATTTGGGATCTCCACAAATTTATGCAAGTTATGGCAGACCCTTCTAAAATGTATTGATTATCATAGAAGAACTCCTTGGGTTAGCAGTTTGCATAATGGAAGTTAAGGATATTGTTCTGTTAAGGGGACTTCTCTGTCAAGACCTTGTACAAGTAATTGACTAGTGGGGAAGGGAATGATATTGTTCTTTTTCCAGCTAAATAGATTTGGAAGACGAAGACCCCCCCAAGAGTTGCTTCTTTCGCTTGGGAAGCAAGTGAGGATTGTATCTTGACTATTGGTTGGTTGATGCGGATGGGTAAAATTATGGTTCATCGTTGCTTCTTGTGTAAAATGGATGCGGAATCTTGTAATCACATACTAATATGGTGTCCGATGGTTTATAGCATCTGGTCAATAGTGTACAGTCTCCTAGGGATCAATTGGGTGATAGTGGGTTCACTGAAGGATGAGTTATGGGTGTGGGCGGGCTTATGTAAAAAAAAAAACTTATCTTCTTCTAATTAATTCCTTTATCTATCTTTTGGGTTGTTTGGAAGGAGAGGAATGCTAGAGTTTTTGAAAGAATTAAGAGAGAGACATTAATAGACTGGAAGATTTTGGAAATATCATTGATCATTTAATTAAATTGTAAATATCATATGTACGGGAGGTACCTCTTTGGTACCATTGTTGATACTAATACTACTCTATACCTTTATTTCAAAAAAAATAATGGGAGTTAAGGATATGATGTCTTGAATGATAAATTTATTATTAAGCGTTTTGAAGACTTCCCAGGCCATTCATATCTTTGACATACTTTTAGTACTTCTAAAACTTGTTTGCAAGTTGAATGGGATCTTTGATAGGAATAATAAATCATTTTTGTGGCATTTTTTTCTTTAATCTTCATATATTTCTTTTTTTTTGTAATATTCTGCTATTTGAAAGATAGGGTAGTATTCCTGGAGTGATTTACTAATTGGTATTGTTGGAAAAAAGCTAAAGCTGGTTTCCATGTGCAAGAGCAATGAAGAATCAGTAGTTAACTGGTTGACAATATTTGTTTGGATCTATATTCTTCAGTAATGCATTCGTAATAACATGTGTTGGCACCTGGATATGTATATAGATTTTCCTTTTCAAAACACTTCTTCCAGGCACATATATATTTCTGTGACTCATCTTCTCTTCATTGACTGTGGATTTGCAGGCGTGGTTGTTTATCCTTGATTGTAACTAGAGATGGGCAGCAGTCCCGCTCCCTTTTCAGATATTGGCAAGAGAGCCAGAGGTATATTCTACAATTATTAATAATGTTTAGCTAGCGGATGAGATCTCTTCATTTTGTAATTGCACTGTCCGAGATGGCTTTTACATGTCAATTGCATGACTTCCCCGGCATGACTAAGTTTATGGGGATGCAGGGTGAGGTTGCATTAAATTTTCAGGGTCACATGACATTTAGCCACAGATATCCTGAAATGATAATTCACTTATGTCACACTGGCAAATCAATACTATTGTATATATTGATGAATAGAATTTACTTCTCTCTCTCCCCCTCTTCCTTTTCACTTTATTTCTATGTATCAGTGTAATAAATATTTGTCGGTTATTAGTTATGCAATTGCCTCTCCATTTCCATTAGTAAATTATGAAGGAACTCGAAGTCCTTATGTATGTTGAAGACAGCTAAATGTATGTCACAGGGGCCAGGACCCACTGCTCAAAGTTAAGAGGGTGAATTTATTTTTAGATTGTTAGGGACAGTAAATTGTCATCATTTTATTCCTTTGTTTCAATGCATCTTTTCTTTTTTCTTTTTGCATTCGGAATCTCAATCTTCATTACTCATAGATTGTCAAACTGTCTGCAGACCTCTTGACCAAAGACTACAACTTTGATCAGAAGTTCACCCTTTCAATGCTGAGCTCCAGTGGAATGGTATTTTCTGATGTTACTTCTAGATCTGGGAGTTATTTGTTTGTAACAGCAATTTTTAATTGCCTTCTTGAGCTATTCGCTATACTTTATTATAAGAAGCTCTTCTACATCACTTCTTTCCCTATGAAGAAAAAAGGTCTCCTAGACTGCTTTTCTTCTAAGAGATTAGAAGCTTCACGAATCATGAGTAGTTGGATACAAGAGAACCTTCAAATTGATTACAAGGTTTTCCATGTTCAAAAAGAAAAAATATTACAAGATTTGCACTTTTGGTTGTTTGAATGAGAGACATTTAAAGATTGCCCATAACGTAATTCATGCTTTCTAGTTTAACCTACATTTCAACTTTCTGGTGGTCACTTTAGATCTAAACAATGAATCCCCAAACCTTTATGTTTGTTCCAATAATTTTTCCAGTGCAATATATCAAACTAAGTATGCTTTCAAGGACTGACTCTCTTGATTTAAGTCATAAATTTTAATGGAGAGGATATGCATAAGATTTTGGAATGAAGTGTCGTTAATTTTGATTACAAGGATAACAAGGTCATGTAAACTTTGAATGTTAAGCCCTTATATAACTTGTTATGGCTATTGTATTACCTAAAGGGAGCATATGATTGGTTGGTGAAAAGTATCTGGATTAACCTTTAAAGAAAAGGTGAAATTTCGAAGGATCTGATCGAAGCTTTAGCCCCAATGGCCTCTGAAAATTAGGTTTCCCATTGAATATGAATGTTTACTTCTGTTCTTTCTCTGCCTTTGCGTACCCAAAAGCTTTAGTTGAGACAATTATCATGTTTGGGAATTATTTTCAGGTATTATTATCTCCTCTAATGTGTTTATTTATCATACTATTATTTGTCGAGGAGAAGCCTGTCAAAGAGTCTCCCGTAGAGTCATGTTAAAGAGACTAGTTAACTTTTGGCACCTTTGCATGGCAAAAGTGTGAGCTGCTGATGAAGGGCATGCATATCCACCCATGTGTATTTAGATTCGGATTGTTTACATTATTCATTGCTCAGGACTAGAGAGGAAGTGATTAAAGTTCATGAAATTTTGTTATTTCTGGAAGTACTCATAGAAGGTTCCTGTAGTTTGTAATGCTTCTAATATCAAAATTAAAATTTATATTGCAGGGACTTACAGTGACAGGCTTGAAGGTGGACCAGATTTTTTTGGGTGACATAAACACCGTTTACAAGAGTGGAAATACTATTGTGGATATGAAAGTTGACAGCTACTCCAATGTAGGAGAAATTTTATTGTCGTTAATATTAATATTATTACATTCTGCTTTTTTTTTGGCTAAATGAGATTTGATAACTTGATCATCTAAAATATTGTTAATGCCCTGTATATTTCAAATAGGATAAGATGTTTAAGTCTTCTATGCAATTATTTTTTCCTAATTCATTGTGAAACTAACTTCTCAGGTGTCTACCAAAGTTACCGTTAATGATCTCTTGCCATGTACCAAAGCTGCATTTAGCTTCAAAATACCTGATCACAAGTCTGGAAAGGTCAGTTTCATCTGTTTTATGATACATTAGAAAAGACATGAAGGGCAATAATAGCAATCTGCATAAAATTTCAGCAAAGAAATGTAATTAGCATGCAATTCAATGGATATTGTTGTTGGTTTATTTCCTGGAGTTTCTTGTAACAATTAGTTCATGTTATTCCCTGGGTTCAATGTAGAACTAACGTGGGCTTTAACTTGGTATGGAAACCATATTTCAAAAAAGAAAAATTTGTTATGGGAGTCATCATTGTTCCCATTTCATTTGGTTGCCTTGATCGATAATGAAACTTCTGTAAGGTGAGCATAGTTCTGATGGTGCTAGATATTTTATATAGGGTGGCAGATATTGAAAATATTGTAATTTGCTTGATAAGTGGGAGGGGCTGTGTTATTAGATAATAAGTATCTTAACTTTGTAGAGTAATTAATTAGAAGTATCTTAATAGTGTGTGTATATATATGGTTACAGATAAATTATGTAATTAGTAGGCTTTGGGATTGGATTCATTTTTATTTTTATTGGTTGCTAGTTTGTGTTTCAGATTGTAGTGTGGGAGGTTAGTGGGGGAGAAAATAGGGGGAAGTAGATGTAGTAGGCAGTTCTGGAAGTACTTTCCAGATAACTGCTCCCTCTGCAGCTTTAAGAATCTGCTGCTGTCTTTGTAAGGGGTGAGTTTTTGTGCCGAAAATTTATCAAAAGTTTCTTGAGTACTTGATCATTGGGGTTTCTTTTAACAAATCAGTACATTTGACCGAAGTAGGTAAAGAAGAAGAAAAAAAAAAACCTCGACACCTGATTTTTGGGTTAATCGTCCCATAACGAGATCCATAAGTTGGGACCATAACAGGCTGGCCAGAAAAAAAAAAGAAAGAGAGAAAGTAGAATGGAATATTTTGTTAACATTTTCCTTGCCACTCTGGTGATTCAGGATTCTGGGAAATCCCTGGTGATATCCAGAATTTACTGTTGATTGGTCTCTGTGTACTTTTTAAGTGTTTGCCTGATCCTATCGAGCTACTGCAATTTTTGGTTCAGTTTATGATCTTATTTGTTAGTTCCTGTTTTCTTTTTTTCATTCTTTCATCATATTTTTTTTGGTGGAAGTATCAGTAATTGATCATCGTGCCAGCAATCTGGCCAGTCTTTAGTTAAACTCACAGTTGTTCACTTCATCTTGAGATGCTTACTAGCACTGAAGTGAATGGCATTCAGTCAGTAATAACTGGCTTGCGTTTAAATCCACCTGTAAAACAGTCTTGTTAGCTTGTGTTTTCAACTCATCCATAGAAGGCTTCATTTGGATATGCAATGGTTCTTTTAGCTGGATATGCAGATAATGCAATATGGTCTAAATTATATCTGACTGAAAAATTTTACTGACCCTTCTCCACCATTTATACCTCAGCTAGATGTGCAATACGTTCATCCTCATGCAGCCATTGATTCCAGCATTGGCCTGAATCCTACCCCTCTTTTGGAACTTTCAGCAACAATCGGAAGCAAGAATCTGTGTTTGGGTGGTGACATTGGATTCAATACAGGTTCTGCATCATTAACAAGATATAATGCTGGGATTGCCTTGAACAAGCCAGATTTCTCTATTGCACTATTGTTGTAAGTAGTTTGATAGATTTTTTTTTTACCTTGTTACACTGTGGTCATATCCTTGTGTTTTTACGAGTGCACGTATTTAAGAAATTTTACCCTTGATAATATATGAAATCGTTTACATTTTGCCACTACGAGCTGAACCTATCTTGCTTTTCGCGCGTAGGACGGATAAAGGACAAGCACTGAAGGCATCTTATGTTCATTCTGTCAGTCCCCTCACATCTGTTGCTGCCGAAATGACTCATAGATTTTCCACCTACGAGAACAGTTTCACCATCGGGAGCTCACATGTTGTAGATCCATTAACAGTGGTGAAAACTCGGTTTTCTAATAGCGGGAAGGCTGCAATGCTGTGCCAGCATGAATGGAGGCCGAAATCGCTGGTAACCGTTTCTGCTGAGTATGACCCCAAGGGCATCAGTGCAGCACCCAGGTTTGGGCTTGCGCTTGCTCTCAAACCATGAAAAGCAGATCAGTTTTTTGACTCAGGTGTCCTCGATTATTATTTTAGCAAACTGAAGATTTTCCAGTGCATTGATGGGTATGCTCTCTGATGATATGGGGGAGTAGAACCCAATTTTGAAGTAGCAGCACATAAAGAGAAACAACAGCTCTTTTTTTTTTTTTTTTTTTTTTTTGTTGCTGAAACTATCAAATGTTATGGAATCTGGGGTTCACTTTTTAATTGTTTGTCCTAACCTGATATTGAAAAGTTTTATGATATTTTCTGGATTTTCTAATTGTTTTGTTCTATAGGGTGGCTGCAATTTTACAGTTTCATGATCCATTATAATTGTTTGCGCTAGTAAGTTGATATTTCCATCAATTGAAGTTGTTCATCGGAAAGAGGTTTGGAGAATGTTTTATCAGTTAAAAAGCTTTACGCATTCAATAATTCAAATTCTTTTATAACAATATATATCAACCAAACGGTCGAGTCTGAAAAATGATCCGTAATAATAAACTTTTAGAACTGATTATTTTAATTCAAATATTGAATCCTTTTAATATATAATTGTCATAATAAAATTCTCTTAATTTTTTATTTACAATAATAATAATAATATTATATGCAACATATTTATGCATAAATGAACTTAAGTAAGTAAATGAAAATTATATAATTAGAATTTGATAAAATTTGTTTGAAAAAAAAAAAAAAAAAAAGATGTAACTTTATTTTTCAAGAGGGTTGCTGTTTTACAAGGTGTTTTTTTCTGTTTTATCATCATTTGCTCTCAAACGGTGACGTTTCAATCCGTCCTCTCGTTTCCCTCCTCCCCCTCCCTCCCTCTTCTCCTTCGATTCGCTCCATTTCCAGATCTGCCTATCACTCCTCGGATTTCCATCTCTGAGAAAAAAGAAACCGCGAGTAAAGCTTAATTAGGGCAGCACAAAAGGAAAAACATGTCGCACAGCGATACAATCCCCTTGCACCCCTCATCCCAATCTGACATCGACGAGATCGAAAACCTAATTAACGACAGCGTCCATTCGGGCCCTGCCACGGTTCTCCCAGCCCGGCCCTCGAGTCCGCCTCGGGCATCGATCCCGGTGTCTTCCGCTTCATTCATCCAATCCAACATCCCTCCGCCTCCGCTCTCCTCCCATCAGAAGGTGCAATCTGTTCCCAGTCCTCCGCTGCCACCACCTGGTAACTCCACCAGCTCTGGTGGCCCCAATATTGCTTCGACCGGGTTCGGATCTCCCCCTAATACCTTGACAGAACCCGTCTGGGACACGGTGAAGAGAGATCTCTCACGAATTGTGAGCAACTTGAAGCTGGTGGTGTTCCCCAATCCGTACAGAGACGATCCGGGCAAGGCGCTTAGGGATTGGGATCTTTGGGGTCCCTTTTTCTTCATTGTGTTCTTGGGACTCACGCTTTCTTGGTCCGCATCGATCAAGAAGGTCAGTTCTTATAACTGCAGTTTCTTTATGTTGAACGGAAGTAGATTATACTTGTTGCTATTCATTCAACTGTAAGAATTTGATCAAGCTTTTATGCATTTTCGTGGTGATTAGTTGTGAGATGTGTCTGCAGCTTTAAGTTGTTAGATTTGTTGTTAGATTTTGTAAGTACATGACCATATAAACCTTGAAGCTAGTTTTATGACTCTAAAATTTTAGCCCACTAGACCTGAAAACTGTCTTTATGTAGATATTCTGCAGTTGTTGCCACATTGCTAGCAGAGGTGAAAACTTGGTAATTGCTTATCTGGTTTTGCCCTTTGCAGCTTAGTGGATGATCATATTATATTGCCACTTCTATCACCAGGTTAAGACAGAAACCATCTGGACAGACATAGAAATAGTTAAGGGTTGTTTAGATTTGTCTCTTTGACCTAACTATCTTAAATGAGATTTAGTTTTTGGATCTCCGAGGTTGAGGTCTAGAGTGCAAAGTCTTTACCTAAATGTGGCATGGAAAAGTTAGACCTCTTTTTAGGACATGGATGAGTGGGTAGAAAACAACTGAACTGAATTTATGAGGGTAGCATTTTATGGTTTTTAGCATTAAGAGTGATAGAATTTTTGGATAACATGATGGAAAGGTGTATGAACTAAGAACATGAATAGGCAAAGATTTATTGTAATTTCCCTTCTCAGTTTGTGCACGATTTAGTATAAATAATGCTGTAATAACTTGTGGTTTGATTTCTGTAATAACTATTTGAAATCCTTTGACATGTATGGTAAATCTAAGTGCGTGCAGTGCAAGCCTAGCCTACTGCTTAGATTTCAAAGAATTACCTTCAAGCGTAAAGTGGTTGCAAGTTTTAATTTGATCATGTTCATCCCCTGTGGTTGTTCTCTATTTTTAAGTTATAAATATTGCTTTTTAAGTTTAACCAAATCTAGATCAAATTTTTGACAGGATTCCTGAATTTTTGCTTGTATGAACCTTTTTACACATGCCACTAGATTGTGCTATTCTCTTCCCACTGTATTTACAAGAAGCTCTTTCTAATTCTTTTGTTTTTCTAGAAGAGTTTCAGTTCTTTCTTTTCTTGCATCTAAGGTGAGATGACAGGGCAAGCACCTAAAACCTCAACTTCTAGTTTGGATCCTTTCTATTTGCAAAGGAAAATTCTTTCCTCATCTTCTTTTATTAGAAATTGATCTTGCATTGGATTAGATGTGGAATAAAAGATAAAGGATTTGTAATGGATCTAAATATGCATCATATCATCATTTATTTGCTTCTTAGGCAGTTTTAATTGAATTTTCACTGTCAATAATGGGTCATCTACTCATTTCCCTTTACCTTCAATTTTTTTTCATAATTTCTTGTTTGCAATCTAACATCTCTTCTGTTGTTCTCCAGTCTGAGGTGTTTGCTGTTGCATTTGCGCTCCTTGCAGCTGGTGCTGTGATCTTGACATTGAACGTGCTACTTCTGGTAAATTGTCCTCTGTCTCTTTGTCATAATGGCTAGAGAACAGGTTTTCTAATGGTGGGAATGTGAGTGTAGATTGTTTAGATGGAGGGAGCCAAATATAAGTTTTGCTTGTGTAGGGAGACATTTTTTCCTTTCAACTTTCTTGCAAATAGAAAAATATGTTGTAAGTTGATGACTTTGGCTTAACCTTCTATATATTTTATATGTTGTTCCAGGGTGGACATATAATTTTCTTCCAGAGCCTGAGTCTTCTGGGTTACTGTCTGTTTCCTCTGGATGTTGGAGCACTGATCTGTATGCTGAAGGACAACGTGGTAATCAAAATGGTTGTCGTGTGTGTGGCGCTGGCTTGGAGTTCCTGGGCTGCCTATCCATTCATGAGTTCAGCTGTGAATCCAAGGAGAAAAGCCCTTGCGCTGTATCCCGTCTTCCTCATGTATGTATCTGTTGGTTTTCTCATTATTGCCATCGATTAATGCATCAGTATTCCCATTGAAAAGGATTCCGGGAGTTATATAGAAATTTCACTGAGTGGTTGATTTCTTAACATGTTTCTGTACATTATATTTCTGACTTGAAAAATTGTTGGGAAAAGTTCAATATGCCAATATTACATACTAGTTTCTTCATGACACTTTTCATTTTGTTCCCCATACTCCTTTTCAGAAATAGTGATGTAGGATATGTTCAAGTTGAAAGTTTGAAGTTTCTTGCTTTTCATGCAAGCCTTCTGCTTAATAATTTTGCAGCAAGATAATGAATGCTCGTGGGTTCAGTCTATGACTGTTATTAGCTGATGTAATGATGCCAAATTTGGTTACTTAGTGGGAACATATTCTGCTTATTATTAATACAGTTCTTTTTTTAAATCATGGCATCATATTAACATATTCTTTTCTGAGTATCTTTGTATAAAAATGTTGTTACAACATATATACCTATGAATTCTGATATTATATTGTAAATATCATTCCTTTTACATATAAAATGTATATACATAGAAAAAATTTATAAATTATCCAAACAAGTTTTTTTTTTATTTTAAAATATTAATTTGGTTTAATTTCTACACACCAGAAATTATATGAAATTTATCAATAGATTAATATTTAATTTAAATGTGTAAATTATTTGAGAATAACAAAAAAAAAAAGATTTAAAATATACAGAATATTCGCAGAGAATTAAAACAATTATCTTATTATTAAATTTCAAGTTTTAGATAAGCTTAAACGACCTAATTTTTCATCCATGTATGTGGCCAAAAAATAACAGGAGGAAGGGATCTGTACCTCGATTTTCTTTGCAGCAGAGGCACTAAAGTTTTCACGTTCCTTGCGGGCAGTTTTTGTGGAAACTTAATGGGTTCAATTTCGCCTGCTACGATTTTTGACCAACCAATTATTTCTTTTTTCGTATTAAATTTTCAAATTGCTAATACAGATATGTAATATTTATATTTATATATTTTTTTTTCCACAAGCATGAATTTCAAAATTGTCAGCTCGGTTCATTATAATGGAGATAATATTTGTATCTTTGAAAGGTACTGAAATAAAAATTACAGATGCAATAGTCAAATAAAGTTTTTAAAAAAATATATATATATATATATATATATAATGTCAATATAAGAAATCAAATCTTTGCATTATACACTTAAGACATCCAATGTAGTATTGTAAAATAGTTCGTATCAACTTAAATTTTTGCATTTAACATTTATGATAATTTTTTTAGTATGATATCCACGTAACACGCGACCTGATTAAATCATGTATCTATGTATAAAAAAAATCACACCATTCTTTTCGTTTAACATTTTTTATCCAAATATGGAATTACCCGTTTTTGTTACTATTTCATTCAAAAAGTTCTAATCCCCTAATATTCACACCTTTATGCATGATTTATGAGTAACAATTAGAGGAGAGATGCACATTAAATGAAAATGAAGTTAGGGTTGGTATTAACAAATTCAACGCTCTAACACATATTCGTCCCTTTCTCGAAAAAGTTAACATAATGATGTATTTAAATTTACACTTGTTGTTAACACTAATATTTAGTCATTAGAAGAAATAAGATTGATCGAGTTTATTTTTTAATATTAAAATTAATAACCAATATAATAATTTAATAATTAAAATTTTTATAATTTATTTAAAAATTATAAATTTAAATTTAATGAAAAAAATATCTCTGTTATAATATATTATTTTATTTAGAATAGTCATGATATAATAAAAATAATAATATATTATTAACATGACTTTATTTATTTATTTATTTAAAAAATAATAATTACAGTAGTGAGTTTTTAGTATTTTTATTTTTGTTCTTCTATTATTATAATTAAATAATAAATTTCCAGGGTGACATAAAAATGATGATAATTCCGAAATATATAGTAAAAACAGAACAACCTTCACATATGTCAGATAGGCTGTAGCCAATAGCGCCCTAACACTGTAACAATAACCCAAAAGATGCCCATGTTTTTAATCCCCCGCCCCTACTACGCACGTGGCCCTCAATCACCCTTCAATTTTTTATTTGGGAGGAAAAACTAAACAAATTTATATTTAATTTAAAAAAAAAAATACAAAAAATTACCCTAAAAGGAAAAATTTCAACTGTGATGGAATTGGACGGGAACCCAAACCGTACCACGCAGTTTATTTTATTATTGAATAAGGTTAAAAAAAAAAAAAAAACTCCGGTAATTTTCCCTTTTTTTACTTTTTTACTTGTGTTTTTCATGGATTAAGTAAAAGTAAAAAAAAAAAAAAAAAAAAAAAAAGGAGAGAAGCAGTGAGATTTGCAAGTATGGTTTACGTGAATATGAAACTGTGCAATCAAAACCTGCATCGCTCTGTAACATTGGGTTACGTAAAATCTGAAATCGTACGGCCACAATTATTATTCGGGTCGGGTCCAATCAAAATTAATTAACATTGCTAATTAACTACGATGAAGCCCCTTGATTATGTATTTGGACTCACCCATTTTGATTTATACCCAAATTTAATTTCAACCATTAATTTAAAGTTGGGTCCGAATTCAAAGAATCGAATTTTACAATGATAATTATTATAATTGAAACTGTAATTTTGTTGAAAGAGAATGTTATATTAACTTAATGGTTAAAATAGTAGTTCTTACTTTAAATTTTCTAGAATTGAACTTTTTAATGTAAAAAGAAAAAATTATATATATATATATATGTATATGTATAGAGAGAGAGAGAGAGAGAGAGATTAAGTTTACTTATTGGGTCAGCCTAACTTGCAAGTTTTGCAAAAGCAGTGCAGGGTGGGTGGGTGGGTATATAATGCAAAGGAGTCAGAGAGACAAACCCCAAAAGGATTCACCTCTCGGATTTACAAAAACTATGAAATCAATAATGGAATATTAGATTAGGGCTTAGGGCCTAGAAATTGGAGCCCTTTTTAATTAAATTACTTGATTATATTAAATTAAGAACTTCGTTTTGGCAATTCAGTGTAATAAATTATAAAATACTCCAAACAAAAACTGACTAGAGAATAGAGATGGATTCTTCTTATCCTCTGGGTAATTTATATATTTTAATTAATTATATTTAACTCTCCATAATCCACAATTAGGGAACCAAAACTCTTTACTTTTAATTGTTAGTTCTCTCGACCCATTTTGGATTTGGATTACATATTATATATACTCTGTATGAGCAGGTCTCGAGCGCCTTTACCTAAAAATTTTTAAAATTAAACTACTTGGGTTGAAGTTTCCAAAAGGAGAAACAAAATTATAATAAGAGATAGAAGTGTAAATACAATTTTAAGAAAATAATAATTAATTAACAAAAAAAGAACCTGTAGATATGACCAAACACGAGTGCGGCACGTGGATTTAGCACCTTCATTATCAGCTACTGTAGTGGTTGTACCTTTTTACTCATCACATTCTTAAGTACCTACCATTAATTAATTAATTAAACAAAGTGAAATAAATAAATAAATAATTAATTAATTTGAAGGGGTGTGTCTGAGACCTTTCAGACAGGCTAAAAAGGACACACACCCCCGCCCTTCTCAATGAACAGAACCCATCATAACAAACCTATACACGATGGGTCAGCTCCATTAACTCTATTTACACTTCAGACACCTGTAATAATACGACATCGTATTCTTCTGTTTTAAATCATAAAAATCACACATTATCCCAGAAGAATCCTAAATTTTTATGGCTCTAAATACACCTCTGACCGAGGTGGTGGTAAGTAAATAATAATAATAATAATAATAATAAAAAAAAAAAAAGACAAAATCAGCCACACCCACATCTGTTCATATCCGCCCTCAATATTATCAAACCATTTTGCTGTGTATTTAGCTTTTTTTTTTTTTTTGTTGAATTTATCGAGTAATTTTTCTTTCATTATTAATTATGTAAAATAAAATTTTCCTAGTATGTAATTTAGCAATCATAAAAGAGGGCTAACGTACGTTTCATATGTAATTATTGAAGAAATTTAAGATGAATGGGTTTCGAAAAGCCAGCTTCCTTCCGTAGTATTTGATAATGCGTAACGTTTTTTTTTTCTTTCTTAATTTGTTGAGGAATGGTTTTTTAAATTAAATAATTTTCAGGTCCTCACAAATCAATTTAACCTCTCATTCTTTGTCTGCTTTTGTAGATTTTGAAACATCTTCTTTCTCATTTCACCATCTCTCAGCGAATGGCAGCAATCAGTTTTATTCATAATAGAGAGAGAGTACAAGAACAAGGAACGAAAAGTCCCAACAAAACTTTCCTGTAAATCACTAGAAAAGAAATTAAATTGAAAAATAGGCCCCCCCCTCCCCATCTTTGATCTCTTTCGCTTCTCAAACTCAACCCACTTTTTGTTTGTTTCCTCTCCAATTGTACTTTATATTCACCAAAGCCAGCCAATCACTCTCGTCTCAAACCCCTCCTTTTTTTCTCTTTTCGAGTTTTCTCTTTTGCTTTTATTCTCTTTTCTCTTCTCTCCACAAATTTTTTCTCAGTTTCTACAGAGCACGCAAATTCCAAGAAACCAATTCCAGCCTTTTGCCCTTCTCTTCTCTATAAATTGAGCAATACCCCTTTGGCTCTCTCTTCAAACCCAACCCACAACTCCATTTCGTTTTCTCTAGACAAATCCGATCTCGAAAAGGCGGGCATAATCCTTTGAAAAGCTACAATGAAAGAGTACTGGACCTCTTTCGCTTCGCTTTTAGGCGTTTTAGCCTTCTGTCAGAGTCTCCTTCAAGCCATATTTCCGCCGGAGTTCCGGTTCGCCACTCTCAAGTTCTTCAATCGGATCTTCCATATGTTCTCCTCTTACTGTTACTTCGACATAACGGAGATCGACGGCGTTAACACCAACGAACTTTACAACGCCGTCCAGCTTTACCTCAGCTCCTCCGTCTCCATCACCGGCAGCCGTCTCAGTCTCACCAGAGCTCTGAATTCGAGCGCCATCACCTTCGGACTGTCGAACAACGACTCCATAGTTGACACCTTCAATGGCGTTACGGTCCTCTGGGAGCACGTGGTGACGCAGAGGCAGTCTCAGACCTTCTCTTGGCGACCATTGCCGGAGGAGAAGCGTGGCTTCACTCTGCGAATTAAAAAGAAAGACAAGTCGTTGGTTCTCGATTCGTATCTCGATTACATAATGGAGAAAGCCAATGAGATTCGAAGGAAGAATCAAGACAGGCTACTGTACACGAACTCGCGAGGCGGATCTTTGGATTCGAGAGGGCATCCGTGGGAGTCTGTCCCGTTTAAGCACCCCAGCACTTTTGACACATTGGCTATGGACCCTGTCAGGAAGCAGCAGATCATGGACGATTTGAAAGATTTCGCAAACGGCCAAGCGTTTTATCAGAAAACCGGCCGAGCATGGAAAAGAGGGTATCTGCTATACGGACCGCCGGGAACTGGGAAGTCGAGTATGATCGCCGCCATGGCCAATTACCTCGGCTACGACATCTATGATCTGGAGCTAACTGAGGTGCACAACAACTCGGAACTGAGAAAACTATTGATGAAAACTAGCTCAAAGTCAATAATCGTGATCGAAGACATTGACTGCTCGATCAATTTGACGAACAGGAAAAAGAGTGGCTCGAATCAAGCATCGAGAAACTACTATGACTCAGAAATGCGAGGTGGGTCTGGTTCTGTCGGCGGCGGAGAAGACGGCGGAGCGAACTCGATTACTCTCTCTGGTTTATTGAACTTCACTGATGGATTATGGTCTTGCTGCGGCAGTGAAAGGATTTTCGTCTTCACCACCAACCACATTGAGAAGCTCGACCCTGCATTGCTGAGAAGCGGCCGGATGGATATGCACATATACATGAACTATTGTTCGTATCCCGCATTGAAGATTCTGTTGAAGAACTATTTGGGGTACGATGAAGACGACGTCGTCTTGAAGCAACTCGAGGAGGTTGTGGACAAAGCAGAGATGACTCCCGCCGATGTCAGCGAGGTCCTGATCAAGAACAGACGCGACAAGGAAAAGGCCATGAATGAGTTGCTGGAAACACTGAAATTCAAAGCGGAGAAGAAGATGAAGAATGGGGGTCTGAGAGAGAAGAATTCAGAAGGCGTAGAAGAGGAAGAAGAGCAAGAGAAGAGAGCTTTGGAGAGTCCTAAAGAAGGGTTTGAATTCGAAGAAAGCAGTTACAAGAAGAAAGTTGAAGAAGAAGAAGAAGAAGAAGAAGAAGATAAAGAAGAAGAAGATGAGCTAGAGGCTGAGAAGGTAAAACGAAACAAGACAGAGACAAAAACGTGAAGGTTTTTTTTTTTTTTTTTTTTTTTTTTTTTTTTTTCTGGTTCATCTTCTTCCTGGCCCCCTTTTGGCGTCTGTGGTGCGGAGAAAAGGTAAAGTAACAAACCTTTTTTATATTAGGAAAAAAGAAAAGGAAGATTGAGATTGGGATTGGGATTGGGATTGGCTCTTCTTAAAATTTTGTTTAGTGGGCTCAATGGAGGAATTGAAACCGGCAAAACCCAAAAAGAGAAATATTTGATCGTCCTAATTTTTATTTTTATGCTTGTTTTTTTTTTTTTATCATCATCATCTCTTTTTTAATATTAATGTTAGTATATATATTATTAATAATGAAAATTTAAATATTAGTATTATATGGTTTCGAAAGATATAAGTTTATTTTGCATGTGGATGAGGTTGGCGGCCATCATGGTTTTTTTGTCTCCTTTCTTTGTCATCTAAATACGGCATTTGCCACTTACATTTTACATTTCACCCCCCCCCCCGTATTCTATTGCACATGTATTAGGTATAATTTTTTAAAGTCCCATCTCAAGATCCTTATTAGATTATAACTCATTTTTAAGTAGTAATGTTTACGACTCGATTTGAATATCTAAGATTTGAAACATACATATATGTATATAGACCTCAAGATATCTTATAATTTTTATTTACTAAATTTATATAAACTAATTAGCAGTGAAAAAGGACAATGTCGTGCTTCATATTTGTTATAATATTTATTTAAGTTAAATCTTTTCGTTGTATTCGCGCATTACGATTCTTTTTAAAAAATAAGAGAGATGGATTTTCCACTACTTGGGTTTTTATTCTTATGGTAACATTTTGGAGAGTGAAAAAAAAAAGGTGCATCTTTAAAATCTATGATGAATATTCTCATTGCAAAAAATATATATATATTTATATATTATTACAAAAGGCAAATATCTAAAAAAGACAGTCCACGTGCCATAATGCTAAAATTTGGTGTTATCATGACTAATTTATGTTATTTTTGTAGTCTATAATTAAAGTTAGTACTTTTATTTATAGTATAATATATATATATATATATATATGCGGGTATTTTCGGTAAAATAAAAATATATTTAATTATTTCAAATACGGGTTAATGCAAGTTTAAGTGAAAGATTTAATGTTTTCTTGAGTTAGCTTAAAATAATTATTTTTATATAATAATTGAATCAATATCATTATTAATTGTAAGACCCCTTTTTAAAAAAAAAAACATCTAAAATAATTAGTTTTATTTTTTATTTTTACTACGTTCTTGTTATCCTAATCAACAAGCATAATTATTATGATTTTTTAATAATTAGGTAAAATTTCACTAACATATTAATAAAATAGTAAATTTGTACTTTTAATAAAATTTTAATTTATAATATTTAAATAAAATATAAAAAATTTTAGTGGCGATTATCGACTCCCACGTATGTATAGGAAGAAAAATTTTCTAGACCGTACTTGAGAATTTTCTTTAATAGGTCCTTTTGAATTTTGGTATTTTAATTTGTCATTTTATAATGATTATTTAAATTATACATGTGAAGTTTGTGTTAAAGTACTATAATTATGGTTCTTTTTTTTTTTTTCAAAAATTGATTAAGAGATTTTTATGGTCAATTGAATTTTGATACTTCAACTTCCTTTAGGGGGGTGCGTAATATTTCTTTTTTTTTTTTCAATTGGGAATAAATTTTATTCTTAACATTTTTAAAAAAAATTAAGTTTATTTTAATTACAATCGAAATTAATTTATGTACATAATGATAACAAACAAACAAAAAAAACTATGATGGACACACAATTTGAATTATAATTGAAGAATAATAAAGTTTAAATTTCAAAAAAAAATATTTTAGGTTTAGGTATCAATTGCATTAATCCTTATCAACATAATTTATTTAAAAAACTTAAATGAATTTGTACAAAATATTGTGGATAAAGTAAAAAAGATGAAGCAAGAAAACAAGTCTAAGATTTTGTGTTGGTAAAAGTAGGAATGGAGGGAGAAAAAGCAAACTACAAAAGTCTTCTCCCCTAATCAAAAAAGTTTTGATTGGTCATTAAATACCAAATTAATGCTTTTATCAAAAATTCAAATTTACCTCACTACTCAAATCTCACTTTTACCCTCACTGTATTAATTACTTTGACTATAAAGAAATAATAAATTATTTGTAAATTAAATATATGTTTTTTCTAATAAATATTAAATATATATATTTTTTACTTTTATATATGTTAACTTTAAAAAGAATAATTATTTTTTAATTACATAAAATTATCATTCTATCGCGTTCTCTTTTAATTTGAATCATAATCATATAATTTTTGAATAATGATTTCATTTCACAAATTGGATGAAGCTCGAATTATAAGACAAACAACTTCAATACGAAACTTTTACGAAGCTAATTGATTATGAAATTTAAGAATTAATACTTCAAATATTGGTAAATTATCCCTAGACTATCACTTCCATTTAAAAAAAAAAAAAAGAGGGTAAAATAGACATTCTGTGGCGGTGGAAGCAGCCAAAAGTGGCGGAGGAGATATCACCACCATCTTTTTTTTTTTTTTTTTTTAGGCTGAGTTGGAAAGGCAATGGCGTTGTCGAGTCCAGAGGAGATGGTGGGGGAAAAACGACACCGGTTTTTCTGTAAAACCATCTCCTTGTCAATTGTCAAACGTTGCTTTCGGGATTTGGCTTTTTATGAGGAGGACACCAAAAGTTATTACCGATAAATAAATATAAATTATGAGCAGACTTTCTTTGGTGCACGTGACATTATTACAATCTTTCTTTCTTCTTTGATCAATCTTGGTGTAGTAGACTTCCACTCAAACTTATATTTACTTTCATATAAATTCCATACAGTTTTTTTTTTTTTTTTTAAAAAAAATCAAATATGACTCTCTTGTTTGAAGTAAACTAGGGTTTACTTTTACAAGAATAGGTTAAACTCGAAGTTAATAAAATTCGCCCTCAACTTGCTCCGATTCTATTCTACTACATACTCCAAAGTATTACTTATATACAACAATATAATGTTATCATATGAGTTATATAAATTCTTTAACTTTATTATTCTTAGTATAAAAAAGTACAAGTTAGTGTGTTTAAAGTAGTTTTTAGTTAATTAACGTGTGTTTCATTTTTAAATTTATAATTTTGTTAGGGATTAGGAGCAGACATGTACAAATGAAAGATGGACCGACCGTGTGTCGTGAGAGATAAAACAAATAATGATAAATTTGACAGCCATGGCCGGTGAGAGAGAACTAAAAAAAAAAAAAACTGTTGATGTCACATTCTCTGCACCCGTCGGTATATGATTTTCTGCAACTGCTGGTGTGCGATATGCATTTGTTGGTGTGTAATCTGCCGCATCATTATGCATTCTAACAAAAACTTTCATGTTCTATACTTTAAGGTCATTAATTATTAGCTTAGTTGATTTATACCAGTCTCTACAGTTTTATTTTGGCTGGATCTTTCGAAGCAACTGTGTACAGGTGTGTGTGTATATATATATATATAGTGGATATATGATGTGTGTGTTTGTGTGTGTATATATATATATATTTGACTATGATTGATATCCTTATGATGCTTTGATTCTGAACAAATTTGTCTCCACGCACATCATGCTGCTCTTGACATACAAATGCTATATACCTAATAATATTGCTGCATATGTAATACGTGAAAGAACTCAAAACACAAATTGGCAAATCATTTTATATCAATCAAATCCAAAACTTTAATTATATCCAACTTTCTTATTTAACACCTACTTTAATTGCTTTAATAATTTCATCATTTTAATAATTAATATTTTATAGGAATTCAGATTTTCCAGTTCAACATTTTTTTTTTCCTAAGGGTATACAATATTGTAAACATTTTTGGGGTCAATTTAAAACAATTTATCATTTAATTTATTGCACTTACTATTTAATTTGAAGGAAAATTAATAATTAAGTAAAATACGATGAAAATTACTTAAAGGAAACCAATTAACTAGTCAGATATATAATTATATATATACATATTGTTGAATCCAATTGAGAAAATGGACATTGGAAATTGTAGAATGAAAAGAATGGTCGCCATTGTGTACAACAATTTGTCAAAGCATGAATCCAACTTGGATTTTCTCCCTTAAACTTATTCGAAACGTTTATGACTTTAGGCCCCATGCATTTACTTCCAATACATATCTAAATTCCATTATATATATATATATATATATATATATAAAGTCTTTTAAGAAGAATTTCGTATATATATATATATGTATATAATTAAGTCGATATCAACTTTTTAAACGTCGTAAACGCGGTTTTTCTTTTATTATAATATTAATGAAATATTTTCTTTTAAAAATAATGATGTACATATATATATATATACACATACACATTGTTCTTTATGAAATATTATTTGTTTAGAATAAGAATCAGATACTGAAGACGAGAGGCGTCAACTTCTGATTAGCGATTATATGTGTTGATTGTGAAGAGGCTTTTAGAATCTAAGACCACGTGGAAAGATCGGTGTATATTAATTGCATATATGTATATATACACCTACCTTTCTGGTTTCTTAACCAGCATTTCTTCAATACTATATATGTATGTATGTATGTATATATGCGTATGCATGTAATTTGATGTACCCTTTTTGTTATATATATATGTATGTACGTATAGATATTTATGATTAATAATTTGTTGTTGTTGGAATTGGAACCAAAAAATTTAGAAGCATAAGTTATTTCAAAGTCCCCAGGAAGTGGGAACCGTATATTTTCCCATGAATAAATAAATAAATAAATATATAAATTGGTTCCCATTCCGCCATTTCCAAAAAGCTTACGAGGAATTCCAACTTCCTTGTTTTTTCTTTTACTGTTATTGTTATAAAAAGAAACTGTAAAAGTTCAAAAGAAAAAAAAAAAATGCTATTCCCATTATTAGCCGAGAGTGGAGCATAAACTATGAATGAGTATATATGAAGTTTGATGGGGATTAATTGCTTCTTTAACTAAACTATGTTCAGTTAAAAATTAGTGTACAGTTTCAGACAAAAGTTGGTATTCACTCAACAGAGTTTAATAAATTGTATTTGAATCATATATTTGTATTAAAAAATGAATTATATTGTTATTTGTGTATAAGTGTAGTGTAATTATTAAAATTTTTAACTTTCTTAGTGATTTTCGAATTTTACAGGTTCCCACCATTTGAGTTGGCCCTCGGTCACAACTTCCCAGAAGTCAGCCCATTGAAGCAATTCTTCAATGGCTTTTGTTTAATTCCCAGAATGCTACAAGCTCCGCCCCTGGGCTTACTTTTTTCTACACAAAAAATTTTATTATTCAGAAATCAGGGCCTCATGACCTGGGAATTCAACCCAACCAACTCCAGCTCAACTAAAATGGGTCGGTTCGGTTCTCGACGCCTTTTTCCCTTACCGCTCGAGTGTCGAGTTCGTTTTCTCTCTTGACTGCTAGTGCTTGCTTGCTGGCTGCTGCAACAGAAGTAGTCCTTCTCTCGTCTATTGAACTTCAATTGACATTCTTCCATGGAGGACGATAAGGTAGTAACGCTCTTTGCTTCTCCTTTTTTTGTTCCCATGTTGTGATTTCTTCTTTACGGCTTCTTATTTACGTTTGTAATTGTGTGATTCTCTACTTTAATTGATGAACATAGTTTGTTAATGTCGATTCTTAGTTATTTTTTGTTTCAATTAGTGATTGTTCTATTATTTTTTTTCTCTCTCTCTCTCTCTCTATATATATATATATAACATTAAGCAGAGTTGCGGTTTAATATGAGTTAGAATTTAGCTTTTTTCTCTTTGTTTTTTATTTGACAGCTATTTGCTTCAGAGTTATATTCTTGTTGTTCTCTTTGTTTCATGTTAGTGATAGGATTAAGTGTTACTCCTTTGTGCCGAAACTATGTTTTCATTCCTGTGATCTTTGCATTACATTCTTATATTTTTCATTTTGAGTTGTGCATGATATAAAAAAATAACTAAGGTAATATTTTGAAGAAATGATAGTTCTTTAAAATGTGTGAAATTGGTTTGCATATTTACATTCTAAACATAGAAGTATAGATTCATTCCACATATATGGTTATGAGATTCATTGTTCCAAACATAGTGCAAAAAAAATGCTAGAATTTCTTTTTCTTTTTTGGTTACTGTGGTTAGTTCTTCTCTTGGCACTTGGCTCCTTTCTTCATATTTGTTTCAGAAGTTGATGAGGAAAACTGAAGCATCTTAAGCATGTAAATTTGTTTTGTCCCATTATCTCACTTTCTTCTATATGTGCATCACAGATCAGATCTTTAATTGCCCTGGCATAGTAGACTCTAGTAAACTCAAGATGCTCTCATGTTTTGTTTCATATTTGTATTTTATATGAGATCTAACCATGAGATTTTATCTCAGGTGGATGGTTATATTTAAGCGAGATCATCTCTGTTGTTGTGTTTGCTATAATGTCGTGGAAGCAGAGTTTTGTTATTTTGGTTATATTTTAGATTTTCCTTAGATCAGTGGCTTATTGATGACTATTTGTTTATTGCAGCTGGGTTCATCTGTTAAGACAATAGAGACTGATGGTGGCTATTCAATAGTTCTTGAGCTCTTTAAAAATGACCCTCTGTTTGATAAAAAGAAGGTGAGAGTTGGACAAACAAAAGCAATCTTTTGATCTCCATTTGCTTGCTAGAAAATGATTGAATCAGGGAGTGTCTCTTGCTCTAGAATTGTTATAGGAAAGGAAATTTGTTAAGCACGAGGAAATTTTAATGCAAATAAATGGATCTTTTGGTTATAATTTTGTACACTGTGGTGCATCTTGTATTCTTGGTTGAGTATTTTATTATGTTCAGGTCCTCAGCGAGACATTTCGCTTAGAGGAGGTCAGAGTTGGATGAAGTACTGCCTCTTTACATGGATGTTTTATGATACAATGTCGTAGATCTCATCTTTTAGCACCTTTCTTTAGGTTGTCAAGTCTTCAAATTTATTTGGATAACGTCAATCCAAATATTTGCTTTTGTATCTTAATCTGTTTGCTTTTGGCAGAAACTATTAAATGACAAAGGCCTTGGCATCAAGGAACAGATAAATCTAAAGTGCTCTTTAACTCCTGATTCATTAACTACTACCTATGAGAAGATGCTTCAAATGGCGAGAATTTTACACCTAGATGAGGTAAGATGTACAGTTCAATGTTAAGGATATTTTAAGAAGCACAGGAGATGTCCATCTTTTTATTTCATCAATTCAAGGCGTAAGGCACACAGCTTTATGACCTCTTCAGTGCTCTGTATGGATAACTCATGATTACCTAATGGATTCTCCGAGATGCAGGTAGAACTTTATTTCAGTGAAGATGTATGTTCATCCAAGGAAATTTACAGCCCCAAGAATGAGGTGGAGGCTCTCAATTCGATCCTCTTAAAAGTTGACATGTTGTTGTCTAGTATGCACAAGCAAATGGATATTTTGAAAGTTTTTCGAGATTCAGTTATTGATAGAATACATGAATTAGGGGTGGACAAAATGGAGAGTAGAGTTGATAAAAGCTTAAGTTGTGAAAATGAAAAGTGTTTACTTCATTGGGGTGAAAGCAATGGAGTAAGAACAAGGTTGCAAATAGCTGGTGAGTTTTCAATAATTGTATTGTTCTTATCAGGTTGACTATATAATTTTAATCCATGGAATACTTATTAGTTACTACTCTTCCAAATATCACCTTTATTTCTAACTGAATATTATTTTTTAATATGAAATTATTTCTCTTCATCAATCACATAGGTATCGAGGGGTATGGTAGAGGAGCTTTAGCAATTGAAGATCTGAATGTTGGAGACATTGCTTTGGAGATTCCAGTTTCCATCATTATTTCTGAGGAATGTGTTTACCAATCTGACATGGTATATTTTGATTATTTCAAGAATGTATATGTAACTCGAACTGATAATTTACCATCTCTATTACAAAACTCATTGTCCATCATGTTAATTGCAGTATCAAATATTGGAGAAGATTGATGGGATTTCCTCTGAGACAATGATGTTGTTATGGAGCATGAGGGAGAAGCGCAACACTAATTCAAAGTTCAAGACTTACTTTGATACCTTACCAGAAGCTTTTAACACAGGTTATTTATATTTGCAATTGTCACGCACTAAATGGTGCTCCCAGTTAGCAATTTAGTGAACATAGATTTCCTTTTTGATCTTTCTTTAAGAGTTAGTTATTACTAATTTAATTTTGCAGCAATGACTTGCTTTAATTTAGAAATTTTATGTTTTTACATGTGTTCACATGTATATCATAGGAATAGACATTCCAATTTGTTAAGTGCTAACTTTTTTGTTGTTTGGTTTTTCCACAGGTCTAAGTTTTGGAGTAGATGCAATCATGGCTTTGGATGGAACCTTGATGTTAGAAGAGATAATGCAAGCAAAAGAGGTATTGTTCTGATTTACAATAATGATTCATGGACAGGGGAATCCTATTAAAAAGTTATAGAGATGGGCATCTGTAGATTTGTGATAATAATTTCTTAAGCTGTTGCTCAATCAACAAACAAGAAGACATATCAGGTGTACTTTCTTTTGCATTTCCATGTTTTTGCATAATCAGAAAAGTACTATCTAAAGTGTTGCATGTTTTTCCCCTTTTGTCTTTCAATTGTTGCAGCATTTGCGTCTTCAGTATGACGAAATATTCCCTGCACTATGCAATGATCATCCGGATATATTTCCTCCCGAGCTGTATACTTGGGAATGTTTCCTCTGGGCTTGCGAACTCTGGTACTCAAATAGCATGAAAGTTATGTTTGCAGATGGAAAGCTAAGGACTTGCTTAATTCCAATTGGTGGCTTCCTAAACCATTCGGTATCTCCTCTCTTTTTCTACTGGTGTGCGAGCTCTTATGTTAAACTTGAAGCTCATTCCAAGAGTGCAGTTGCATGATTTCTGCAGTTGCTAGGAATTGTAGGTACATCAGACAGGATCACAACGAAAGTAGCTGCTTGTTTGCCTATGATTTCTAAAATATTTGCTGGACCAAACAGTATGCCGTTATGTGCTATCAAATATGCTTCTGAGGATGCTCCTAAAAAATGCTTATATGATTTTTTAGATTGTTTTGTATTGTTGAACTAATATTAGGACTTCCTCTCTTCATAACTATTAAAACTTTCAATATGGTGTTAATATATCTTTTGGTTGAACTTCGATTATGTTTCTTCGCAGCTAGACCCGCACATAGTTCACTACGGCAAAGTAGACTCTGCAACAAATTCCCTAAAATTTCCTCTGTCAAGACCATGCCATAAAGGAGAACAGTGTTATCTTAGTTATGGGAACCTCTCTAGCTCACATCTCATCACATTTTATGGCTTTATGCCTCAAGGAGACAATCCATATGATGTAATTCCCTTGGGTAATCTTCTTATTTTATCATATTTTTTCTTTGATCCTTTCTCTGTCTCACCCACACTCACACACACACACTTACATTCACACACGCACACACACACTCACTCACTCACATGAATGCATTCAGACACCCAATAGACAAATGCTTATGTTGAGAGAGATCATACTGTAATGCTTCACATCATATATATTTCTCATTCTGAGTATGGCATACTCAATCATCCATTCCATGAGTGTTTTCTTGGTTGATTTGTTAACTCTTGATCCAGTGTAGATATCAACATTAATGAAGCTGAGTCCGATGAGGGCTGCCCTGTGACCAATTGGACCACTCATATGGTTCGGGGTACTTGGATGTCAAACAATCATGATATCTTCTGCTATGGCTTACCATCTCCATTATTGAACTGCTTCCGGAGGGCAAGGAGTCCTGTGCTGCATAATAATAACCTTGTGATTTTCTTTGCCCTACTCTTTTACTTTACTTCTTTAACCAGGGAAGAAATTTGTTTCCGTGCTTTAGTTATTTACGATTAGTTCAGTTCAGCACTTCTGTAGTTCAAGATAGTTCTAAATCAATATGTCAGCTGTATCTTTTTTTTTCAACTCTTAAGGTACAAGAAAACTTGGAAATTGAGAAAGAAGTTCTCGAAGATATCCAATATACATTCAGTGACATGATGGAAAATCTTGGTGACATGGATTTCATTGACAGGTAAAACAATTTGTAGCCCCCCCACAGGCTAGAGCCTTTACCTCATAATTTCTATTCACATATAGAAGTTTTCTCTTATCTTGGAGAGAGGTTTAACTCATTTTTGCAGAGAAAACACTAGTTGGGATGTGAAGCTAGCTCTGGAATTTAAAGATCTACAGAAGAGGATTCTCTCTTCCATTTTAACTTCATGTTCAGCTGGCCTCAAGCTAATTGAAAATAAATTATCAAAATAGCATGGTTGACCAATAGATGACACCAGGCTTACAAGGTGAGCTGTCTGAAATCATTATTTGCGCTTCCCATTCTATCTTTTGAAAGAAATAATTCGTGGGAAAAAAATCTATCATCTGGTAGATAAAAGGGTTATGGGGAACAATATTGAATATGGCAGTTTTTCCTGTAATCTTTGTTTGTGGTGTTACTCCATATGATCAAATGACGACTCATCAGCATCTTGGTAATCCCTCCGTGTGACATAAGCAGCAGCACCAAGCATGGAATCTGACTTTTGCAATTAACAAATATTTTATCTATAGTGCCTGTATGTCGGAATTCCATATTCTTTCAAAATAGCATTTTAGTGATATATTAAATATATGATGACTGTAGAGATTTCTTTGACTTGGGTTTAAAATAGAGAGTTTATAAGCAGGGGAGCTTGCAAAATTCTTTCACTACTTAAAAGCTGTATGAATTTAAAACTGCTTGGTTAAAAGTTTTCTGGAATGGGGAAGAAAAACAAAGTAATGGCTGATCAATATGCTCCTTTCTGATTAATTTTATTTGTTTACTTATAATTAATACTTGAGTGGTGGTTGATTAGGACTTGATATTGGGAGATGATGATGTGGGTGGTAAGATGTGACAATTAATTGCCAAGTTATCTCTCTAATTATAATTTGACTCCTTAACAACCTTTACTTTTTGTAAAAAGCAAATGGGATATTATTTATCTCGTGGATTGGGTGCTTAGTTAATTTAATCATATTATGTGAGGATGTGTAATTAATTTAATTTAATTTAATCTCGAATTAGATGAGTCATGACATTGTTAATCTATTTTTAATTATGAACCGAATTAAGATATACTTTTTTAATAGAAGGTCAAAACCATTCACACAGAAAAGCTGAGTTAATTAAGCCTCTAACCTCTCATTAAATTAATTAATACGGGGAAAGGGACAAATCTCGCTCCTTCCATTACCCACCGCGTATATTGAGAAAGATGGTAGTTCCATATTTAAAATGGTGGTTAACCGAAGATGTTGTCCATTTATTTTTTTAATAAAATACAGTTTTTTAATTACTTGAAATAAAACAAGATAATAAATTATTCTTTAACCCATATATTTTTTCTAAAAAATTATACGTGTTTATATTATTTACTGATTAAAAATATATTTTCCAACCAAAAAAAAAAAAATCAAAACGAGGTTAACATTCAGAACAGTGGGTTTTTTTTTTTTTTTTTTTTTTTTAATGTTATCTGGATAATATATATTGAGGAGTTAATTTTTCGGGACTTAATTGCTTTTCTATATTAAGGTTACAATTATCTTTATAGATAAAAATCAAATAGGTTGGTAAAAAAAACTAAAAAGCACAGTTTCACTCAGGTAAACTAAGTTTATTAAAGATTTTAAATTAATTTTTTTAATCTTTTTTGTGATAATTCAATATTTTACAGTTAAATTTAAAATTACTAATATTTTTAACAACTCTA